GAGCAGAAGAACGGAATCCATTTGTACTCACCATCAAATTGGTATTAACTAATCAACACATAAATGCACATATCAGAACAACATCTATTGGATGTTGGGGAAGGGGGAGGGCGGCGGGAGGAGGGGGGAGGAGGGAGGAGAGGACGGGTATCTGTATACACAAGGAGTGCAATGCGCACTACCCGAAGGAAGGACATATGTGAAACACGGACTTGGGGGGGGGGGACCAAGGGCAACACACGTAACCTAAACATCTGTACCCCCATAATATGCTGAAATAAAAAAAACAAAACAAAACAAAAAACTAACGTATACGCAATTGTGTATGTTAATATCTGTCCTTTGGTATACTTTAAAACAAGTATGTTTCTGGCTCATTCTGTCTCTGGCTCATTCTTGCTGGTGTCTGCACGATGAACCCCTTATCTGGTTACAAGTTGTTGCCAAGAAAACAAGAGTTCAACCACCCTGTAAGGTCATTGGATCAGTCAACATGCACTTATCACAAAGCAAAAAATATCAATATATGACCCAGCAGTGTTCAGCTTAGCCTAGGACCAAAGCAGGAAAGTCAATGAAGTGAAATGAGTAAGAACATCAGCTCCAGACTCATATAGACCTGGGTTCAAATCCAGGATCTTTTACTGGGGTGGAACATGTTACTTAAAATTCTTCAAATTCTCAAAACCTCAGATGCCATTTCTGTAAATGGGTACAAGAAAAATGTCTATTGATAGGGTTATTGTGAGAATCAGACAAGGCAACCCACACAAAAACACTGATGCAGTAACAAGCACGGAAGGTCATGATGAGTGGTGAGAACAAGCCCCCAGAGTCATCGACACAGAGAAGGAATGATAACATTTTCACTCCTAATTTCTGCTTTACCACGACCAACATGGTTTTTAAACATCCTGTTATTAATTTTCAAGTGTAAAACACTTTGTATGATTGGTCTCAGTACAGAAGTGACATTTTTTAAATGTACAACACTTTTAAACATCCTTCGTAATTCCTGAATAAATGACTGTGGCTCTCAGACCCGCCAGCATCCACTCCTGTTCAGATAGCTTCATAGCACAAAGAAAACCTAATTGAGTGGGTGGTGGAAATGAACAGAAGGCTCTATATTAATTGGATAATTATGTGACTCTTAATTGCTCCACTTCCTTTATCCTGGGTATTCTAAGAGCAACACTATTTTAGAATTAAAATATGCTTTAGATATAAACAAAGCCACCTCTTCTTCTTTCAGGTAAAGCAATTTCCAAAGTTAGTGTTAAAACTTTGACAATGGAGAGTATAGTGTCCTCGCAGTTTGTGATCACAAGTGTTATGATTTTAAATCATTTAAAAGATAATTTCCCTAAATGCAATGTGTTGTCCCAGGTTGAATTCTAGAACAGAAAAAGGACAGTAGTGGACAAATTAGTGAAATGTGAATAAAATCTGATGTATCAGTAAGAGTAATATGTCAATGTTCATTTAATAATCTTTACAAATGTAGCCATGGTAATGTAAGTTGATAAGAGTAAGGGAAACAGTAGTTTAAGGTTGCTATACTCTCTTAGTAACTTTTCTATTAATCTAAAATTATTCCAAATGAAAAGTTAATTAAAAAGAAAAAATTGTTCAATTTGTGCTAGCAAAACTCAAGCAATCCCAGCTTCATCATGTACTAGCCACATGTCATTGAACAAACCACTGTGCCTCAGCCACCTGTGCTATAAAATAGATAGTAACACTTGTTCAAGATGCCTGATCCATGAAAGGAAAATAAACAGTTATTATTGATGTATTCTGCAAAGTAGAAATCAAATATTGATGTCAGCATTAATTTTAAGCAGCATCTACCTATGGACACAAAGCGAGCTAGAAAATTGAATGTGTATGAGGAATATAACATGCGTATTTAAAATCATTCTGATTTTTCATTTTAACCATTTTAAAATTGCAATGAAACTGCTTTATTCATGTAATCCTTTTAGAAAACATATTAGTAAATAATTTCAGAATTATAAACATGTTTGTGTTTTTTATACTACTAACCCCAATTGTAAACATTTATTCTGAAGCTGAAATGAAATGGGGAAGTTTTATAATGAAAGATGATGCCATGTCATTTATAATAGTGAACATTGAGAAATATGTAAAATATTCGATAATAGAAAGAAGTTTATGTAAATCAGGTTATCAGAATTTAATAACACATGGTGCTATATATTTAAAACACTAATAATAGTACATAGGAGAAGCACTTTTATTTATGAGTGAGAAATACACGAAATGTTGTAATTATTCTGCTCATTTATACAGATATTTTAAATACAATCTGGAAGGAATCATAAAAATTATAGTGACTTTTTATTTGCAATGTATATATTATTATTATTTGAATATTTAAAATTAAACATCAAGTTTAAAAACCACAATACCATATTTTTTATCATCTAAACAGTTCAGACAAAGGAGGAGGGGTTCAGGGATAATTCATTTGCATAGATGGAATTAACATGCTAACGTTACACAGAATCTTACATTAAAATTATAAACTCTTGCATACTTTCCATAAACAGCCATACCATGGGATCAGCCCTCCGTGTCCTCTAGGCACTCACTTTGATATCAATGTTAAATTCACATTCTCCTCTAGGTAGCAGCTTATTCTGTCCATATTTCTCTTGGTCTTTCCTGATGGCCACACCCTTAATATGTTGCAGCTGCACCTCAGATTGCTCAGGTCCCCCTTGCAGCATCTCTTGGAGCTGTGACCTTGGGAAGTTGACCTTCTCATGCCCACTATGCACATTGTCTACTGTTTCCTTCTCATCAGTTTTTGCAATAAAACTAATCATAGCATCATTCGTCCTGAAAATAATAGAATTTCTGTTTCAAGGTTGAAATATATATAACATTCAGAAATATAATAGGAATTAGTAGCAAGATTGTCATTACAAGTAATTTTTTTTTTGGAGAGAGAGAGTCTCACTTCGTCATCCTGGATAGAGTACAGTGGCATCATCATAGCTCACTGCAACCTCAAATTCCTGGGCTCAAGCGATCCTCTTGCCTCAGCCTCCTGAGCAGCTGGGACTACAGGTGTGGGCCACAACACCAGACTAATTTTTCTATTTTTAGTAGAAACAGGGTTTCACTCTTGCTCAGGTCGGTCTCAATCTCCTGAGCTCAAGCAATCCTCCTGCCTCGGCCTCCCAGAGTGCTAGGATTACAGCTGTGAACCACCACGCCCAGCTGGTAATGTTTGTAGTTATATTTCAAGCAGTAAATTTTAGATGCATTTATATGTACATATGTGTGCATATCAGTCACATTTGCATACATGTTTCCAAATATTGTTATTACAAAGAAGAAGAATAAATTAAAATCCTATTTGTAATTATCCTCCCTGTTACATTCCTTAAATCCACCATATTTTTGATCCAGGATTATTATTCAGTAATAAAAGATTTATTCTGCTCCTGTCTAGCAAAGCACATTCCTTTCCCTGGCAACCTGGGATGGTTTCTTCAAATATCAGAATTCCAGATCCTTTTCTCTCGTCTATATTGCTCTGCTGATTTCCCTAAATCTCTCAACTTTTATATTCTTACTCTTTCTGGAATTTGAAAAACAAAGAAACAGACAGAGAAAAGAAACTCTTTCTCTGTTTCTGCTGATGTCTTATCTTATCCATGCCTGAACCTTCTTTTCTTCTGTTGTCTTAGTGATTTAGCTCATTTTAGGGGTGAGACAAAGCCAGGACAATGAGCACTAAAGCAATTTAAATTTTCCTGAACAATTCTGAGGCAGACAATTCTAATGCTATTTGTGACATCAGCTGTGCTTAGGAAAATAAGGTGGACGTAGTTAAAGTCAGAAGACTCCACTCTGCGATGGGAGGCAGCTTTCTTACCCTTCATGTCCTTCCCTGTGCCATTTGTTAGGGTGTCTTTGTGGAAACAGTAAGTGTTTTATTCTACATCAATAACCCTGTATACAGTACAGCAGTCCTTGAATTTACCATATTGTGTCAGTGTTCTTTATTTAGCCTTTAAACGGCAGAAAAATCTGCTTTTTAATCTAAAACATCATGATGGGGAGAACATCAGAGCATAAATGATAAATGAGAATATTTTAGAAAGAATAAGTAAGATGCTATTAGAGAGCAAGGACAAAAATATGCACTTGTTGCTTTTCTAAGTTATTTGGATTTAACTTGCACATGAGAGGCTGAAGATAGGTCTCATTTCATTAGACTTGAATTAATTAGGTGCTCCTACCGCCTCTCCCCCAAAACAAACACCCATTTGCTTTCTAACAGCTGCTGTTTATTGGAAACTTATTATGTATCAAGCTCAGTTCTATGGACTCCACATGTATTATTTTATTTGTTTCCACATATTTTCAGCTTGGTAATATTACTAATATTATCCTCATTAAGTATGAGGAGTCTGAGAGCCAGAAAGGTTGTGTAACTAGCCCAAGTGTGCACAGTTTTAAGTGATAGGCTCATGCATTGCATTAAACTTCATAGCCGGACCACAACACCCACACTTTGATACACTGCATCACAATTTGAAATCCTCTCTGAAAATGCAAACATGGGAATTATAAAACTCACCTTTGTCAGTTCCTTGAAAATTCTGGAGATAGTAATCTCCCATTCTCTATGGAGAAAAGTCCATTTGGTGGCTGGCCAAAACGGGAAGGTTGTTTCCAACCCTTCCTTCTACATCTAAGAGAGAGAGGATCTCCGGCAGACAGGTAGAGAATATCTCCTACAGCTTATCGAGTACTGTCTTTAACATAGTCCCAGGAAAAAATAAATAAAGAAGCAAAGGTTTCCTCCTTGGTTTCCTACCAGAATTTAAAGACATTTCCCTGGGGGTCATGAACCTATAAAATTGCTTCTCAACTCCCCCAGGATTTGGAAATTTCCCATCAGTATGATTTTCCAAGACACAGTTTTATTATATGTGCTTTGACTTGCTCAAGTCTTTGTGAAACTTTTTTGTTCCTGATCAATTAGAGGGTATTTTTTCCTTTTTCTTTTTCAACTTCTGGTTTCTATTAGAAGATGTTTTCATTTTCCTACATGTTCAGGAATAGAGTACTGTATATGCTGCGATGGAATCACAGATTTAGGGCAAACTCCTGTGTACTTACTAAGTAAAAGAGCTGAGTTCTGGGATAAGACAGCATCAATCCATAAGGACAACACACAGTGTTTGGGGACTAGGGTAGCAATGAGTGCTTATTAAAGAATAACATTTTATGTGTAAGTATGTAAAGATTCATAGATAAATAAAAATGTTATTTTTTTCTCTCAGAACTGATCTTGATGTTCCATGACTTTAAAACTAAAAGTACAATTCTAGAGTAAGGGAATTTTTCTCGTCTCATATTATTTGAAAAGAAGTTAGGGCAGGTCTGCTTACTCTAAGAATGCATAGCATTGAGACTGGAGCCTGAGGGACAACTTGAACTTAGCTCATGTCCCTTCAGAGAGGGATGACATCAATTTGTTGCTTTATACCATCTGTAAACATTTTATCCTGCCTACTTATATGTTTATTCACATCTCATGGAAAAATGCAAAACTGATGACATTGATCAGAAAAGTCATGGCCCAGCAACATCAATTAAACTGTCAGTGGAATTAAGAAAGAAGTGTTATTTTCTTTTAATTGAAATTGTATATGTGTGTCCTGGTACAGAAGAATCACCTGATATGGACCACAGTCCTAGTCAGGGTGATATTTTATAAATATCACTCAGCAACAGACTTGACCAATTCATTCTGAAACTCCGGTTCTCACTCCAAGCCACAGTTAGCGTCTTCTACTTCATTCCATGCCCTGTTTTGCTTAATCCTTGATTATGTGTTTTGTTAGAGGAACAGAGTGGAATAAAATAAAATATGATTATAAAGATGGAGTGAGGTAGATAATATAAGAAGCATTATTTTTGCACAGTTATGAAAAATAGGGTAATTTGCTTTTAAAATTTAAATCAGAAAAGAGAAAGACAGAGACAGAGGGAGCCACAGCCAAGGAGAAGAAATGGCAGATGTGGGATAGCAATTTTTCTTTACAGAATTTACCCAATATTCTAGTCTTTCCTACTGATTTAAAATTGTCTTATCAGTTGATATTACAACTGATATTGCAAAATCAAAAATCCAAAGGATCATTAGAGACTATTATGAACCACTATATGGCAATAAATTACAAAACCTAACACAAATGGATAAATTCCTAGACAAACATAACCTACCAACAGTCAACCAGAAAGAAATTCAAAACCTGAATAAACCAATAACAAGTAACAAGGTAGAAACAGTAATAAAATGTCTCCCAAAAGAAATGCTCAGGACCTTAGGGCTTCACTACTGAATTCTACCAAGCATTCCAAGAAAACTAATACCAAGCCTACTTAAAGTATTCCAAAATATTGAGGAGGAGGGGATCCTCTCCTCCTAAACTCGTCCTATGAGCCCCGTATAACCCTGTTACCAAAACCAAAGACATGACATTAAAAGAAAATTATCGGGCCAATTTTTCTAATGAACATAGGTGCAAAAATCCTCAACAAAATACTACCAAACAGAATTTAATAACACATTAAAAGATTATTCATCATGATCAAGTGGAATTCATCCCAGGTATTGAAGGATGGCTCAACATACAACAATCATTGTGATACATCTTATCAACAGAAAGAAGGACGAAAACCATATGATCATTTCAATTGATGTTGAAAAGGCAATCAGTAAAAGTCAACATTCTTTCAGGACAAAAACTTTCAAAAACTGGGCATAGAAGCAACTTACCTCAACATGATAAAAGCCATCAATGTCAGACCCACAACTAGTATCATACCGAAGAGGGAAAAATGGTAAGCCTTTTTAAGATCTGAAACAAGACAAGGATGCCCACTTTCACCACTGTTATTTAACGTAGCACTGGAAGGTCTAGCTAGAGCAATCAGACTA